ATTTGAGCACTAATTTTTCTTGAACTTATTAAGTTTTTTATTCATTGTAAGTATGTTTCTCTTTTAGGAAAAAAAAGAACATAGTCCAGATGCTTTTCAAAATTTTGAAAAACATGTTGACTATGTTCCATCAGTAAATATGTTAGGTGCTAAAAATATATATATAGTGAAATCATCCCTCCAACATAACCAATTGTTATGTGAAATGAAAGGAGAATAAATAGATTAAACAATTCAATTAGTATATACTATATAGTATTATATGTACTGTATAAACAACAAGATAAACTATATAATATAGTTTATCTTGTTGTTTAAAATGTTTTTGTAAAAACTGTTTATGTAATAGTTACAATTTATTTTTGTTATGCATCGACGCATAACAAAAATAAATTGTATATATAAATATTAATGCATTAAAACTAAGCATTTATAAATCATGTGTTTATTGTTTTTATTTTTTAAATAAATTAATGTTCAATAGCTTGTTAAGCACAAATTTTGTATTTACTATATACCTCAAACATGCTTATACTTTTTTAGAATATTATGTACAAAAAAGTCATTGCAATAAATCTCAAGTTATTAAAGTCAGTTAACAAATAAGTACTGACAATTCATTGACTGGAGTGGAAGGTGTTAGTGTCTTGAACCAACATGAAACAACAAGTTAACTTAGCTGAGAATGATGGTAGTTTAAAAATAATGCAGCATTGGCTAGGTAAGTGATTATGTGTATGTTGGCTCACTCATAAGTCAATATATATGTGTTTATGTTCTGTGTTGACCTCTGGTGTCGTGTTGGCTCACCCTTTAGACATTATATGTGTGTTTGTGTTCTGTTTCAACCTCTAGTGCGGTGTTGATTCACTTGTAAGTCATTATGTGTATAATTTTATTTTGTTTTATTGTGTTATTATAGTGATGTTATTGTTGTGAGGCTTTGTGTTGATAGACAACTTTGCTTACTTTCTCGTTGGTGTCTCTTGCTACAAATGATTATTAGATTATTAGAAATGATTATTTTTACTTGAACTCGTTACTTCTAATCATTTACTAATAGGCAAGAAACATGTTTTAAAGTAAAACATACTTTTAATGTTGTCATTTTTAATCTTTAGGATTGTTCCTAGGTCACAAAAACAATCTTACAAAGTAAGTTTCTTCTTTATTATTTATTTAGTTATATTTTTAATTAAATTTTTATTTTTCATGTTAACATGATACATAAAACATTAATTTGTAAATGCTTTCAGCATAAATTGGTTCTATTTTCTTTAGTAGAGTTTCTGCTGTTGTCACTGGTTTTAGAGAGTACCTTTGTGAATGAAGATAAAAAGTCATTTATGTTATTTTTTCAAAGCCAAGACATAATATTGTTAATCCTCATACCATTTACCAAAAAGCTTTATAAATATTGTTACGATGTTATAATTCAAATTGTTGTAATTAGTAATTTTGATCATTTCATTATTATACTGTAAAAAATATTTTTTATTTATAACATTTATTTCACATATATTAAAAACATGAGGAATAAATATTACACTGAGGAAAATTTTAAGCAAAATATAGAATTTTTAAATGTTATTAGAATATCAATATGTAATATTTTTGTTTTATTTATTGACTACATCTGTAAACTGTGCAATAATTTCAAAATGATGAATTAATTAAATTCCATGTTTCCTATAAGCATTTGCACAGATTTATTTCAATATAACGCTAAATATTGTTCTGGTAACGTTCAGCAGCTTTTTTAGATAACTTCTCTTGATAATCATAAGACATTTTCAAGGCGTTTAAGTAATGATGTACTGATATCAGCGCGTTTGTTTGCCCCCATATCATAATGGTAGATATTTTTGTTTTTAATTACGCATGATCACGTGGTTTTTTCGCCGCAAGAATACTTAAACCAAAAAATACTCCATTTGTTTATATTAAAAAGTCTCTACTTTAAGCAAGTCAACACGATACAACAACACGGTAGCGCAACTAGCCAAAAAATAAAATTATTTTACGCTACTTTTCACATTATTTTGCAACATTACCGAATTCCATAAGCGTAAAAATTTAGGAAATATTGATTAAAAGTTCAAAATTTATGAAAGAAGTACAACCAGATATGTGAAAACATAGGAAAACATTGTTCAAACACACGGAAAATAATGGAAACGGAAATAAATGGCAAGAAAAGTCGTAAATTGTGATCAACTACAAAGCTTTGAGTCAAAATTCCAAAAACTTCGAATGAAAACGTCATTACAAGAAACAAAAGATCTTTTCTGAAAATTAAGGATGAGGAAGCAATAAAGTGACGCGTTTTCAAAAAAAACGCTCATAGTGACCCGATAAAAAAAAAAAAAAAAAAGAGAGAAAATGCAAATGAAGCTAAATCAACAAATACCAATATAATTACAACAAAATTGGAAAGAAATTTAAACACTAAGATGCAATTAGCTTATGATTAATACACGAATAATTTTCTACGTATATTATAATAGTTACTACTTAAATACTTTTAGACATTACGTTTGATTTACGCACAAGATCAGCGAACGATGCAAGATTATACAAACTATTTAAATAAATATATCTTTTGATATAAATCTTAATTACTTTAAAATTTGTTCTCATTCTAATGGTAAAAAAAACATAACAATTACTATTTTGAAAAGGGAACAATTCATAGTTATATTTTATGGACTTGTATTGAATACTTTGCATTTTACATTAAAGCTCATTCATTTTTACTTGTCGAACCTTTTTAAAAACCAATTTATTAAGAACCTCTCTCTATCTTAACTTTTTTTTTCTAAAAGTTAAATTTTACAACACCTAAACTTTGATTAAATCTAGTTGAACAAAAGTTAGAAAGCATAACTGTTTGTCTTTTTAACAACACCATCTTTTTAATATACTACATATGCACTGCTTCATTTTTATTTTTTCAATAAATTATTTTTATTTTATTGTTATTTAGTATAGCATCTGTTTTAAAAAGCCCATCATCTTATGCTGGAGTTGTTGAAAAGATCTAAAACATAGATATGAACAACAACAGCTAGTGTATACCCATCCGGCATTTGGTCCTAAAAAGACGTCTTTTGAACGTTCAAAAAACGTTCATCAGACGTCATTTTTAGGACCAAATGCTAGCTGGGTAGCCAATGAAATTTGGCATCATTTACGTTTGAGAAATTATAAAATTGTTTTACCACAATTTTAAAATGTTTTAAGAACTTTTGATAATTGATAAGGTAGATTCGGATAATATGACCATCTAGGTAATATGAATCGTCTCTGTCAAATCGTCAAAATTTGTATTTTTATTGTTTAAAGGTTTGAGTAAATAAAATTGAAAAAATAATGAATCTACCTTATATCTTGAAACAACAAAATTTTAACAAATAAACGCAGAAGCTACGTGAAGTTTCATTAAACTAAGTCATCGTCTGGAACAATAAAATTTACTAATTGTCTGGTACTATATAACAATCATCTTTCGTTGGCGTATAATCCTTTTTTATTCAAAAGTTGGCGTAAACAAAGTGAGTAATACCTCAAATAGACAATCGTAGAAACACAAAGTATTATTTTCAATATAAAAAAGAAATTATTTTATATATATATATATATATATATATATATATATATATATATATATATATATATATATATATATATATATATATATATATATATGTGTGTGTGTGTATATATGTATATATATATATATATATATATATATATATATATATATATATATATATATGTATATATATATATATACATATATATATATATATATATATACATTAACTAATTAGATAAAAATTACTAAAATGTAGATGCACGTAGTTGTAGATGCAGGTAGTTGTAGTTGGTAAAATGCTCATTTCTTTTACATAACAACGTTTTATATAAAACTTTAAAATAATTTAGCAAAAATTTAAACTATATCATTATCAAACTTTGAAAAGGGTCCTTAAATTTGCTAATGGGTTTCCTAAATTCTCAGGACCCTTATATAGTCATTTATTCTTACATATATATGTAAAGTTTAAAGCCCACTCTTAATATAAAACATAATCGCTATATACAATTATAATTAACGTGCTGTAATTGACTTATTCGTAATCCTTTTTTTATTCAAAAGTCGACGAAAACAAAGTGGGGTAATACTTCAAATAGACAATCGTAGGAACACAAAGTATCAACTTAAATATGAAAAAGAAATCACTATAGTAATTTCTGTAGTGTTTCATAGTGCCAGAGTGATCATTGCTTTATAGTAACAAAATGAAAGATAATTGTTTTATAGTAACAAAATGAAAGATCATTGTTTTATATAAAGAGTGGGCTTTAAACTTTACATATATATGTAAGAAAATATAGCTATATGAGGGTCCGAAGAATTTAGGGAACCTATTTGCAAATTTAAGGACCCTTCTCAAAATTTGATAATGATACGCCACTGACTACAACTATTAAACATCAATATACGCATCTTTCACCTAAAAAATGATTTGTAATATACGGCCAGAAATTTTGAATTTAAGAGACATTAACTTTGAGTTATTTTTGAGACGTAAGGCGTAATAAATAGAGACCTTGCAAATGTAAAATAATAATTTTAATGTTAATACCATAAAATTTGTTGGACTACTCAATTAAAATTTTTTTTTTAAGTCATTTAATTTCAAAAACTTTTTGCAAAGTGTTCAAAATAGTACAACTTTTTTAAATTTTTTTTAATTTTATTTAGGCGCCCCAAGAAGTCCTTACGGTCTAATCACAGAGCACCGTGGATGAGCATTTAATTGGAAGTTCACGACTCCTTCCTAACCGATGTCACAAAACTTGCCCAGAGGTGGGTTTGAACCACAGATCCTTTGTTTCTGAGGCAAGTGCGCTACCACTGCGCCACGACTATTCTATAACTACATATCATATCAACTTATTACGTAGACAAGTATAATTTTTGGCATAAATACCTGTTTTGCTCCACCAGGGTGCTTTGATACACGATGCTAAACCAGTTGCAAGGCCTCCCAACAGAAAAATATTGTTAAAAATAATAATGCATAACTTTGATTTGCTTCTTATTTTAGCAACAGCCACACTATCATTATCTTTATAAAAACTTTTATTATTATTTGAACTAAATGTGTAATGAACTTTTTTTTTATCCGGATAGTTTTGGTGGTTAGGGTACCTGTAATCAGTTGATTGAATGTATTGAAAGGTTGGTTCTGGTAAATTCTGCGCATAGTTATCTATGTAAATATTATTTCTCATGTCTCTGCCATTTTGTCGATCGTAAGTAGAATCGCTAAATCTCCTTTGTCGATATCGATGATCTTGTAGTCTGTAATCAATCGGGGGCATTTTTTTTTCAATATTGTATTCTGGTGTTTCATATCTCCGCTTTTTATATTTGTTGTAAACTTTTTCTTGAAATGCGTTACTATGAGGTTTTTTTCTATCGTATTCGTTTTTATAAAAATCATGTGATAAATAGTTCCTACTTGGAGTGTCGTAGAAAGTTCGCTTTTGTCCATCCCCCGTGTAACGACTATGTACAATGTTAGTCTTTTTGCGAGCTGGTTCATAAAACTCAGAGTAATCATTTAAGCGGTTTTTAGACGAGATACCATTAGTATATTGGTAGTTACGCGGTGTCAGACTTTCTTGTCCAGGTCTATGCTTTATATAGCTTTTGTCTTGTAGTATATTTACTTGTCCACGCTTATGATTATATATGTTTTCTCCATAATAGCTGTCATCGTCTTCAAAAGTTCTTTGGTTAGGCATTATTTATTTTATATCTCTGAACATATCACTCAATATGTAAAGATCACTGCTAAGTTCATAAACTTTATTAAGTTTGTTGTTCATTTATTATCTTTGTTTATAACACGATTATTCATTATAAATTTTAGTACCCATTTAACAACTTTGCCAACAGAATGACTAACTTTGAATAAAACTCTTTGTTTGAATCACTATAAAAGGGTTTTGATTCACTCATCTAACATATTAGATAATATAAATCGTTTGCATATTTATCTTAATCAAAAAGCGATTATTAATCTTTTTTCTCTCTATATAAATGATTTAAATCTTGTTTTAGAAGCATTTAAAATTCCATTGTATGAAATTTTTAAGTATTTATGTTTAGTTTTTATCTGCCAATAAAAAGAACGAACAAAAAGAATGGAATATTTACTTACTTTTTTTTTAAATGAAAAGTGCGGCAAATTTTTTTATTGTTATTGTAACCTTTGTATATTCCCCTCCTCGCACATGTAAATTATAAAAATTGTTTAGTAAAAAATAATGGAAAAAAAATAAAGTAGAAAATAATGTATTCATTCTTAGTATGACGTATGATATTAATTCTTTTTTAAAATTCAAAATATAGCCTGAATAAGTGATCTAATATATATTTATAAACAAAGTATTATTTACAAACGAATCAAACTAAACTAGAAGTACAAAAATTTAAACAAACTATTATTATAAAAATTTTAATTAGAAAGAATTTAGAAAAGCAATTTTTTATATATATATATTATATTTTTTAAAACAACTGTATGCATTGACAGATATTTTGATTTTTGATATGGGTAAGTTTAACGCATGAACTAAACAACAGTTTGTTTTATGTTTATAGTTGGTAATAAAAAAGATTTAGTGAATAAAAAGTGAATTTAGTGAAGCAAACAAAAGCGCATTATTTTAACTCTTTCATATAGTTTTTTTCTCGTTTCCGGAATTGTAAACCTGTACGGAAAAATTGTTGCTGTTAGCGTTTGCCTGTTATTTTACTTGTTGTAAAATAAGAAGGCACTCAGGTATCAAAATTTCTACTCCAACTAAGTGCTGGATTAAGGTATGGGGGATGGGATAGGACTATAGCTTCGGGTCCTGCAGCTTTGTGAGTCTTGATTCAAAATAGAGCAGCCGTGCGCAGTGGTTAGAGTTCTGGCTCAGAGCCTAGAGGTCCGAGGTTTGACGCCAGCTCTAGGCCAACAACCGACATTGGTACAGAAGGAGGCGTGGACTTCCTGTTAAATGCTCTCCCGCGGTGCTCAATGATAAGACCGTAAGGACTTTTGGGAGCACCTAAAATACCCAAGCCCCGAAAATTCTTAACTCACCACTGCTCCAATTTTTGGTTAGATATTATGAAAAGGTCATTATTTGCATCTTCAACATAAAGGATCTTTTAAAAAATGTTTCTTCATCAAATTAAATTAATTATATCGAAACTTTCGTTCTATGCTAAACTGCTTTCTCTTTCTCAGCGGACCTGTAGAGGTATTTTGGGCGGACGGCTGTAGTTTTGCTCATCGGTTACTTAGTGGACCATTAGTGACTGCCGTTAAAAGTGACTAGCATATGACTAGCCACTATTAACATGACGAAAAGTTATCGGCTTGCCACATATAGCGGCTGCCACTAATGGTCCACTAAGTAACCAATGAGCAAAACTCAAATGAACCGCTAAAAAATGCCTATATAAGTCTATTGCAAATTTATAAAGACTTTATGAATTCTTTGCATCTTAAAACCAAAAATGAAAAAACGATAAAAAAAAGCAACTTCTAACCAACTTTCATAACTCCTGTTTAATTTACCTTAACATTATCAGGGCCAGAAGGAATTCCTTACCGTTTTAGCGGTATGGGCTCCCAAACCAATCCACCCAAACTAAAAATTCGAAAAACCATAAAATCAAACATTTATAAAGAGTCCACCATTATTAAATAAATTAGAGAAAAGAAAAAAAAAGTTGTCACTGTTGTTAGCCGTATATTGCGTTTTATAACTATAAACATAATGGCAGACTTTAATAATGTTGCGTACTTATGTATGTAATTAATTTTACGAAGGAGTGTTATACATCGTAGATGAAGAAGTGCAATAAAGAAAATTCATTTTTTTTTTTACATCAGATCAGTAAACAAGATCTATGAATGCCCTATAATTATAAGTTTTTATCTATCAAAAATGTATTTTTGAAAATTGTCATAGGTAATGTCCAAACTATGGATGCTACCTATGACAAAAAGATACGGTAGATAGTAATTTATAACTATGATAGATACGGTAGATAGTAGACGCGGTGGCATCCAAACTATGGATAGATACGGCCCTGATTATATTCTGGTAAAAAAAATATTCCAAGCTTTATGAAACGTTTTTGTAATGAGCAGCAAAAGTATATTAAAGCTTCTAATTTTTGTAATGTTAAGTATCATCAAATGATTATAAAATTTTATCTTAGTTTAGTATTTATATCTTCATTATCATATTTTGATTTGCATTTTGATAGTTAAAGAATCTAGTACTTGGATTTTTAGTTCTTCCAAGTTTACGCACCTTCAAGAGGTTTTAATCCTCAAATCATAAATGATCTTGCAAATAAAACTGCTGATTTTGCTAGTTCTCAAAAACCTTATCAAAAACCTCTCAAAACGGCTTAAGTAATTATGCTGAAATGAATAAATCCAGCTACATTAAGAGTAGTATTTTTTTTTCATTGAAATCATATTTCAAAATTTTATAATTTTGATTTGAAAAGAGGTTTAAGAGTTGTTCTCAAATTATAGATAGTAAAAAAATAGATCATATAAACTTAAGACGGAGTATTTTTTGCATTCTCATTATTGGGTGAAACTGTAAGAAACGTTTTCAAGTCAGTTTACCAGAAGCAGCTGTAAATGCAGAATTTTTTTTAACGAAGGATGTTTTTAAATTTTCAGATGTTAAGAGCAGTTTTAAACTTATAACGAAGAGGAAACCATTTTTAAAGTCTTATAAATTAATAATTGTTTCACAACTTGCTTAGATAGTGTCCTCCTATACTTTAAATAGTGGTAAGAATCTAAGGATGCATATCTCGTAGATCAATAAGAATAAGTTTTTGATGAGAGCTCAATGTTTTTCATAAATTAATGAAGATTTTTAAATTTCAAAAACAGTTCATTAATTCAATGAAGTTTTTAAATTTTACTTGTTTAATTTATTTTTTCTATAAGATTCTGCCTGATTGATCTTGAAAACTGTTTTCGAAGGGAAAACAGTTTTCAAGATCAATCTTGTGTCTTGATTGTTTTGTCATTTTGACTAAAATGACAAAACAATCAAGACACAGTTTGCAATTTTTCCAATTACTAGTTCACTGACGGATCCAGGGAAGTAGAAAGGGGGAGGGGGATCGGGGTGATAAGAGTATGTATCCGTTTTGATCGTTTGATAAGAGTATGTATCCCTCCCCCCCCCTAATTCTGAAAGTCCTAAAATATTTTAGAAATGGAATATCTTTTATATTTTTTGAGGAGACACAAATATGATGCAAAATACAAAAATGTTTCAACATCTCCAGCACCCCCAAATAACCTTTTTTTTTTTTTTTTGGTGTAATTTATTTCGCCGTTAAAGAATGTTTACATTGCATATACATATATCAAAATTAATGGGAGGACCAAGAAGAACGCACAGTTTGCCTTATCGCCGAGCCCCACATATAAAAAAAAACTCTGCATAAAAAAAAACTCTACATAACCGTAACATACAAATATATAAAATATAGATCAGAATTAAAACAGAAAATAACTGAGAAAATTAAGAAATTCAAAATAGCAAATAATTAAGAATTGTTGAAATGCTAACAAACGCTAAATATTTAAAAATCATTTAAACAAAAAGTTTTAAATAAAAATAAAAAAAAAATTATAATTAACAATATCACAAGATGAATTTTTAACATCATTACTTAAATTTCATTGATATAAATAAATTTGTTTTTATTTGATTAAGCTTTAAAATAAACATTTATAGTAATAGTTATTTTGATTCATTTTTTAAATTGCTCTAATGTAGTCTTGTTTTTGTTGACAATATCTGGGAATTTTTTCCACAGATAAGGTCCGCGATATTTAATTGAATAGGAGGTTAATTTTAAATTATACTTGAGTTGTTATCAGAAAACTTAGTTGAATATTTATGATTAATTTTATTAAAATAGGTTTGAAAAATTATTGGGGACAATCCCATTTTTGTTTTAAACATAAACAATAAAACTTGGTGTAAATTGAGTTTATACACATTTAAAGCACCGAGTGTACTTAAAAGTGGTTCGCAAGGAGTATTTCTGTAGGCTCCAAACACTATTCTGCATGCATGTTTTTGTTTGTTGTAGATTTTTTAAGTTTTGTATAGCCAGTACTAGCCCACACAATATTATAGTTAGACAAATAACTGTGAATAAAGGCAAAATATATTTTTTTAGGGATGCTACATTTAAAAAAGGTTTAGCCTTAAACAACATTGCGATATTTTTTGAGAGTGTTGTTTCAATACTATTTATATGTCAATACCACAGTAAATTTTCATCCAGTTTTACTCTTAAAAAGTTTACGTTTGTTTCCCTTTTAATATAAGTATTATTAATTATAAGATTTGGTAATTTTAGAGGAATATTTTCTGATTTATTTACTTTATGGAAAAGTATATATTTTGTTTTATTCACATTTAATAAAAGTTTGTTACTTACGAACCATTCATTAACTTTACATGACTGTTCATTAACTATTTTAAAAAGTGTTTTAATATCTCTGTGAGAATAAAAAAGATTGGAATCATCAGCAAACAAAATTAGGTCTAAAAGATTTGTTACTAGGTATAAGCCATTTATGTACAATAGAAATAAGAGTGGTCCTGAAATTGAGCCCCGAGGAACCCCGCAAGTAAGTTATGGAATATGGAGTTGTGTTATTTTGATCATAGTATAAAAATTGCTTTTGGTTTGTCAGGTACCCTTTGAACCAAAGTAAGTTTTTATTTTTCACTTCGTAGTTTTCAAGTTTTTTTATTAGAATATTGTGATTTACGGTATCAAAAGCTTTTGACAGATCAATGAAAACTCCTAATGTATAACAGTCATTATCAAAGGCGTTAGATATTTGATTAGAAAGTTCAACTATTGCATGTTCAGTGGAATTTTT